TGGATGTGAAGAACGTGCTCTCGGTCTGCTCATCGAAAACGCTGTTGGTTTGGCAGTGTCAAACACACAACTAAATGCAAAATCCCCTGCTTGGACAGAGGCAGGGGAGAAGGCTTTGTGTTACTACCGCGGTAGGACGGCACCGGTGACTTGAGAGAGGCAGAAAGCTGATGGAGACAAAGTGGGGGGGGGCAGAAAAATGGAGATTACATAGCAGCGTGGCTGAATACTCACTGCGCTCGCAAGTGCCATCTCCAGCCAGGTCTTTCCTCGGTCTCAGAGGAGGCTCTGGAACCTGGAGCAGAAAGATGGGGGGCAAACAACTGGTTTGAAACAGCTTTGAAGTAGGATCGTGACTCTTTTCTTTCTTCTTGTTCTTGTTTTAATAAAAACCTCAACCCTCTGAAATGAGTCCGGACGGGAGATGAGCAAACCACACAGAAATCGGTGTCACTGCTTTGGATTATTTGGCTGTTTCAATTTTACAAATTCACCTTTAGCCTACATGAGGTCTGCAGCGTCTCTACGGCACGGTGCTGATTGAGTCCTTGGACGGACTGAAGCCCCTGCAATCTCATTTTTAATAAGAAGTAGAGTCCCCAGTGTGCACATTAAAAAAGAAAGTCATCTGAAAGCACCACATCTTCCAAGAGATTCATGAAAATAAATGAAATGCGTCTCTTAAACTGTTGGCAACCAACAAACAGTAGTACCTGCCTTTAGCAGCGGTTTGCAGTGTTAAAATATTTGCACCCCTGCAGCAACCAATAATCTCTGCCTGCAACATTTCTTTCTGATCCATGTGTTTCAGCGCAATCCTCATCACTGGTGGCATCAGATCCCTTTGTCCACTCTTGGTGCTGAAGCGAACACTTGCAGCCAAGATTTGCAGGGTTTTTGGAATCTGGTCAAAAAAAGCTTAATGCAGTTGTTTTCATCTATTGAGAAATTTCTGTGTTCAGAAAGCACAGATTGGGGGCTAATCCTTTTGGATTTGAAGCAATTTTTATGAATCTGGGTTATTCAGGAGCAAGGCTGGCAGCACCAGATCTTTGCAATAAAAGAATGTCAGTCTAGACACAGTATTTTTTTTTAAATTTTTAAAGAAATAACACCAGTCATAAATATGCGCTCTTAGTTTTTAAGTTTTCTACCAAGGCACAGAATTGCACCCAGAATTGTGCTGGTCCCTGGAGTTTCAAGTACAGGTATGAATTTAGCGGCTTTTAACAATGCCACCTCTACCTTGTGCACACTAATTGAATTTCTGATGCACAAAACTCAAAATATATTTTTATTTGGCTTCCTTTCAAAGCAGACAACCAAGGAAAGCAAATAGCCAAAGCACACTAATGCTGCAGCTTGGTACAGAATTTACACCAGCGAAAATATGTGAGCAGGCGAAAGGAACCACCTACAACAGTGCAAAATCTGGCTGTCGAGGCTGAGACCTGCCATGTACAGCCCAGAGGG